ATTGGTTTGAAGACGAAGATACAAAGTACATCAATACAAGACATCAGCATTCAGAGGCCAGATCTGACATTGTAGCAAAGTTTTAGTTCAAATGAAATTTTTGAAGGAAATTTTGCTATTTTTTTCCTCTTAGGTACATGTAACCTACTTATTTCGTGAGTATATGCTAGTGGTATTACCTGGAACAAATTATTTAATCTGTTGAGTCTCAGTGTGTCTGTTTTAAGAGGCAATAAAAACAATAGTAACCATATGTACCTGAACTAATAGGTACATAGCATTCACAGAGGATGATGTCCTAATTAGCACCCAACAAAAGGGAGTTACTATTATGAAGAAATACAGTATCGGACACTGTCTCAAAACACAAATGAGGAACAGAAGGAAACTACCTCACCACACTGCACAGTGCAATCCACTCTATGGGTATTTATTCAGTTCTTCATATACTACTTAAAAAAGAAAACTTGCATAAATCAACATGCCATTGATAGCTGATAGAACCTACCAGCCAAGCAATTGGAGGAATAATAACAAAAGTTAGCATGTTAAACTCAGAAGCAATAAAACAGACAGGCCATGATCTTACCAATGCCAAACTTGCATAAGGTAGCAGGTAAAGAATGACATAAAATAGCAAGAAGGAATGCTACACATCAAGGGTCAGAAAATGAAGGCCTGGGGACCAAATATAGCCAAACTTTCCTGTAATGCAGTCTTACTGAAATACAGGCTATTTGAGTCATACTATCCATGGCTCCTTCTGAGAATAATATAATCCAAAAAGCCTTAATATTGCTACTGTCTCATCATCAGAAATGGCTACCTTTACCATCTGTAAATCAATATACTACAGTAAAAAGATACAATAGGAATCTACATACAGTAAATATTAAGAGCTGAAGGCTACATATAAGATGATACTCCATAAAAGCTGCAGTGTGAAACAGAATCTTTATACTTTTGAGCAGTAATGGAGGCACAGATACATTTTATTTATGTGTTTATAATGAATGCATATGAGCTCTTATCGTATATCACACTGAGTAAAACGTGGTGTTTAATAGCAAAGAGGAGTTACATTTCTCTGGTGCAGTAGTGCAAAGGTCAGCATGCATTAATTAGAGTAATATGGGTGATATTCCTATAAAATCTATTTACTAGGGTAATGATGTTGCAAAGTCATTCATGACTATACCCATGCATATTTCGATTCCTAGACAACTCTACTTTTGGATACTAAAAACATTTGAACTATCCCACTGGAGAACCTAGAATGGAACCAACTTTGTACCATAGTTTACATTAAAAAATGGAGTTAGAATTTACACCATAATATTTTGAAAACTAAAAAAAAAAAAACTAAAATGATAATATATTGTCTTTTATATTTCCCAAGAGCTGCTCTTCTGAGATTAATATTGTTGATGAGCATTTTGGTATACTGTAGCTCCAATGTATGAGAAACAAGGTCTTCCTGTCTACATCCATAACAAAGAATTAACAATCCAACGTCTCTTGAAATTGTGAGTTTAGAAATAATGTTTTTCTATTTGGAAATGACAGGAACACACTATTTTTTTTTTTTGAAAAGAAGTAAAATTTCAGTAAGGCTTTTTAGTCAAGTGTCTTGTGAATCACTCTTAAATTACTGCACTACAAAGTACCAGGTCAAGAGAAGCCAGCATCACTGCTGGAGGGACTGATAAGCCAAGCAGAATCCAGCTAGTAAAATCTGCATCTCACATACATTTCACATGTCATATTATATATATATATATATATATATATATATAATATGTATATATATTATATATGTATTTATTATATATTTGCTTTTGACTAAAGTCAACACTTAAAATAATAATAGTAAATACCCTTCATTTGTGTATTTGGCAACACACTACAGATGCAAGAAAAGTTCACTGAAGACCAAGTGAAAAAACAGAATCAAGATTAATAGACAGAAACAGTCCTGGCAACTTACTGGCATCTGTCAGGCATGTACGTGCAGGTTACTTTGCAGGGTGTTTGAATGTGATTGGTGCCATGGGCTATTTTATTCACGTTTAGTCCCCAGCTAGTGGACTATTTGGAAAGAATAGAAGCGTGGCCTTGTTGGGTAGGTTTGTACTTGTTAGAGAAGGTGTGTCCCTGGGGGGAAGGACACTGAGATTCAAAAGCCACCAGGCACAGTGTTACCCTCTCTGTCTGAAAATTCTCCGATATTGCTCTAGCACCTGCCAGCATGCAGCTGTGCTCCTGGTCATGATGATAACGAAGAAACCTCCAGAAACTGTAAGCAAGCCCCCAATTAAATGCTTTCCTTTGAAGGAGTTGCCTTGGTCGGGGTGTTTCTTCACAACAATAGAACAGTGAACAAGACACCCTGTTAGAAGGGTTGAGAGAGCGTTCCTATATGGAAATGGTGAGATTTTAACATAATTCAAGACAGCACTTTTACAGATGGTTCTTAACTGCACTTCCTAGGAGTGTCACCTCTATCCTACAGTGGGTAACCATGGCATGTTAGAAAGGGAGAGGAGGACCGGATGTGGAAGTAGAGCTAATATTGACAGTATGTGTGAACACTGTCTGTGTCAGAAGATTATGAAGCAAACCAGTAAACATATGCTAAAAGAAAAGTCCTTAGACCAAGAGAGGACATTACAAAACAATTACATGTACAAGTGTTTCCAAAAGAAGGAAACCATAAACAATGCATTTGTTTCAGTTAGGGTTTCTATTGTTGTGACAAAAAAAAGAAAAAAAAAAAAAAAGCAACATGACCAAAAGCAACTTAGGGAACAGAGTTTATTTTCAGCTTAAAACTCTCAGGTCACCTTCTGTGGCCTGGTAATGCTGCTTCCCCCTCAGGGGGAGGTAATTAAAGAGCAGGCCAATCAGTTCATGTCAGAGACAGTCCCTGTTCCTATTACAATGAAACCCACTTGTATACTGAACTGCCATGGGCTACATCTGTGCAGGGGTCTTAGGTTATCTCCATGCATAGTCCTTGGTTGGAGTATCAGTCTCAGGAAAGACCCCTGTGCTCAAATTTTTTGGTTCTGTTGCTCTCTTTGTAGAGTTCCTGGCCTCTCCAGATCTTACTGTTTCCCACTTCTTTCCTAAGATTCCCTGCACTCTGCCCAAAGGTTGCCCATAAGTCTCAGCATCTGCATTGATAGTCTGCAGGGCAGAGCTTTTCAGAGGTCCTCTGTATCAGGCTCCTGACTTGTTCCCTCTTTTCTCCTTCTTCTGATGTCCAGCCTCTTTGCCCTTCTGGATAGGAATTGAGCATTTTAGCAAGAGTCCTCCTGATGAGACCTAATTGACTAGGATCAGAAGGAAAAGAAGACCTCCCCTATCAGTGGACTTGGGGAGGGGCATGCATGCAGGGGGTGGAGGAAGGGAAGGATTGGGATGGGAGGAGGGAGAGAACCGCAGGGGGGATACAAAGGGAATAAAGTGTAATTAATAAAGATAAAAAATAAAAATAAATAAATAAAAATAAAATAAAAGATAAATAAATAAATAAGTATTAAAAAAAAAAACTCTCAGGTCACACTCCATCTCTGAGGGAAGTCAGGGCAGAAACTCAAAGTGGGAACTAGAGAGGAGGCAATGGAGAAAAGCTGCTTTCTGGCTTGCTATCTATGGCATGCTCAGCCTGCCTGCCTTTTTTAGTTTGTTTGTTTGTTTTGTTTTGTTTTAATTATACTTTATTTACTTTGTATCCCCCCCTCTAGTTCCGTCCCACCTCCCCTCCCAATCCCTTCCTTCCTTCCCCTTCTCCACGCATGGCCCTCCCCAAGTCCACTGGTAGGGGAGGGTTTCTTTTTCTTCCTTCTGATCCTAGTCTGTTCGGTCTCATCAGGAGTGGCTGCATTGTCTTCCTCTGTGTCCTGTTAAGGCTGCTCCCCCCTCAGGGGGAGGTGATCAAAGAGCAGGCCAATCAGTTCATGTCTGAAGCAGTCCCTGTTCCCATTACTATGGAACCCACTTGGACACTGAACTGCCATGGGCTACATCTCTGCAGGGGTTCTAGGTTATCTCCATGCATGGTAGTTGGTTGGAGTATGAGTCTCAGGGAAGACTCCTGTGCTCAAATTTTTTGGTTCTGTTGCTCTCCTTGTGAACCTCCTGTCCTCTCCAGATCTATTATTTCCCACTTCTTTCAAAAGATTCCCTGCATTCTGCCCAAAGTTTGGCCATAAGTCTCAGCATCTGCTTTGATAGTCTGCAGGGCAGAGCCTTTCAGAGGCCTTCTGTGGGAGGCTCCTAACTTGTTTCCTGTTTTCTTCTTCTTCTGGTGTCCATCCTCTTTGCCTTAGAGAATTCTCGATAGAGGAATATCAAATGGCAGAGAAACACTTAAAGAAATGTTCAACGTCATTAGCCATCAGGAAAATGCAAATCAAAACTACCCTGAGATTTCACCTTACACCCATCAGAATGGCCAAGATCAAAACCTCAAGTGACAACACATGCTGGAGAGGTTGTGGAGAAAGGGGAACCCTCCTCCACTGCTGGTGGAAATGTAAACTGGTACAACCACTCTGGAAATCAATCTGGCGCGTTCTCAGACAAAAAGGAATAGCGCTTCCTCAAGATCCAGGTATACCAGTCCTAGGCATATATCCAAAAGAGGCTCAAGTACACAATAAGGACATTTGCTCAACCATGTTTGATTTTTGTTTTTTGACACAACCCAGGACTACCTATCTGCCCAAGGGTGGCTCCACCCACAGTAGCATATCACGAGCCTTTCCACAGGCCAATCTTAATTTCTCAATTAGGATTCCCTTTTCCCAGAGATATCTAGGTTTTGTGTCAAGTTGAAAACAAACAACCAAAGAAAAACAACCAGCAAAGTATTCATCCTTATCTGTAGCCATTAGGATATTAATTGGTTCAAGTAGTGATTTCCATCACATAAAAAAAGTTTCCAACATATACGCCACGCTAAGAATTTTTGTCAGTTTTTTTTTTCACTTTACCTCATAAAGTGTGTTGTATGTAGTGACAGTCACAGTGTTTGTATGCAGCATCAACCTTTCTCCAAGAAGAGTGAAGAGACTATGAGTATGCATAATTTCAACTTTTCGCCTGGAGAGAATGGAGGGAAAAACTGTGAGGCACAGTGGAGCCTACGATCACATGACTCTGGGCTAAACATCTCTTATAAACATGCAGACTCATACAATTAATTACTTTATCATCTTCCTTCTTCAAAAAGCAGCAACAGTTTATAACACAGCTATCTACTAATATCCTGCCACTTTATTTAAACAGTTCTCAAGAAAATTCTCCAAACAATTAAACTATGAAACATACTCAAATTACATAACCATATATGACTGGAAGTTATTATTCCCAGATTATAGTAATTATCTAGAGGTTTTTAGATTTTTAACCCTAACCAGAACATGTAATTCCAGGTCTGTAATCTAGTTTGTAAGGGATCTTGGAATAAAAACAATCTAAAGAATGGTAAGAGTAAACACATGCACTTATATTGTGCTCACAGAGAAATAATCCTGCTTCCCATCAGTACTATGTCTGCAGGTGTCCACAGATTAAAGAAACACTGTTTTGTTTACTTCCATTCATCACAATGTTTCCCTCCTGCTTTGGTGTGCATGTGAGATGTACCCCGTAGGCTCTTGTATATGAATACTTGGTCCCTATCTGATGTCACTGTTTCAGAAGCTCATAAGACATAAGCATCAGAAGACATCATGGACTGTCCTACAGGACGAGGGTTACACACATGTACCATCACACCTGGTTTTTACATGGGTGCTAGGGATCCAATCTCAAGTTCTCATGCTTCTGGAAGGGGCACATTACTGACTTTGCCACCTCCCTACTCTTAACTTTTTTTTTTTTTATTTTAAGAAGAAACTGTGTTAAAACTAGGCAGTCACAAAATGGTGTGTCTGTTAGTGATCCATTCTCCTCATGTTCTGATGGCATAACTTAAGTTTCTGATTTCTACATAAGTCTTATAATTTTCTTAAAGAGGCCTACATTTCTAAATTTGTAACTTAGCTTCTGAATATTTTAGTATTGAAAAGAATGGTTCTGTACAGTGTTCCCTTTCACAACTTTATTGCTTACAGTAATATTTCAAAGGTAGTTTAAAGTCATTAAGTTTCACCCCTAAAGAACATTAGGTGACTGAATTTTGTAACAGCATGTGAACACATATTCATGCGATTATCTTTTCTCCTGCTTCTGGTCTAGCATGCCGTCTCTGATGTTTTACTATTAGCAGCAATGTTGCATGGACATTTGTAGGCTAAGTAACAGTCTTCTCCACTATGAAGGGAATGACTTAGGCATACAGCCTAAGTATCTACCTTTTAAAATTGTATTAAATTGTTTTCTAACATCAGGATATCAATATATAATTTCCCTAATAATTATAAAATTTCCAGTGATGTAACTTTCTTGGCAACACCTGCTAAAGTCAAACGTTTTTAAGTCTGTCACTTTAATGAGTATTAAAGACACTTTTTTCTTTTACATTCTTCCTGTTTATCATCGAGTCCGATTTCCTCTGCAAAGACTTTTCTTTGTATATTTGTCTCCTCAATCGTTTTCATTTCCTTGTTATATTTGCACGGTCACAAATTACATATATAAAATGATTTCATCCTAAATTTGATATATCCTGAATCTTCTTTTAAAAAAATATGGTACTTTAAAAGGCATTTTTAAAAATGCTTTTCCTTTAATCACCAGATTTATTAACTTGGCTGTGTGCTTTAAGTTTTTCCCTAATCAAAACTGATTTAAAGTACACTTTCTAAGAGCTTTAAAACCTTCTTTTCAAATCTTTAAACAACTCCACTGTAATAATACACACAGTGTAAAATTTCCTTTGCAGGACTATAAAGGAACAAGTGCTCTAAACAACTCATAGTGTCTGACTACTATCCCACAACTCAGTTTCAAAGCATGTTCATCATTCTGCAAGTTTCCTTGGTCCCATTTATATGTAATTCCCATTCTCACTGACAGTCCCAAGCAGCCATTTATGTTCACTGTAGACATTCCAAAAAAGATGAACCCTAAAATATGTATTTTTGCATATGGTTTTCTGAGTATCATATTTAAGGGGCTCATTGTGTCATAGCATTTAATAACTTGTTTTTGAAGTTTGTTAAAGAAATGACAACTGTGTAAATTCACATTTATTTACTCTACAGCTCATGGGCTCTGGATTCCTCCTATTACTTAACCACACAATAATGGTGTTAAGAACACTTAAGGGCAATGACAAATGGAAACACGCTCTGCCTTTTCTGAAGTAGACATGTTAATAATGAAAATACCTGGCTGACGTTTTAACAATAGAAATACCAGGCTGAAGACTAACGTTTTTGCTTTGTTTTTTGTATTTTATTTTTGTCTGACGTATAGCTCTGTAGTTTGTTTTACAGTTGAACATATGGCATACCCTGCGGCATGATTCACAGCACTGTCGATCTGCTGGCTTTATGAGTGTCCTACAGGTGCCAAGACAGTACCCGACAGGATGCCAGGCATAAATGGTAAAACGGTGCTTTCAGGAAGTATTAGTTACTGGGGAAAATGATTTTCATATCTCTAGTAAATATGGCTTATATATTCATTTTCCCTTTTTCTTGGGATTTAAATTATAATTTGTAATTCTTTTACTTAAAAATTAGCCTTTATCATTTTTGCTATTTTTTAAACCATTAATTGCTACTTCCCTCTTTCAGCATTCACTCAATTCATTTGTGAGTTTGTTTTTGTTTCTTGTTTGTTCGAAAATCCCTGTATCATCATTCTTTCCTGTATTTCCTTTTTCTATATGACAGCTATGTCTGATCCTCTAAGCTTTTATCTTCTATGTGAAGGTACTTTGCCTGCATGTATGTCTGTGCATCACGTGCAAGCAGTGCTCCTGGAGACTGGAAGGGAACAATGGAACCTCTGGAACAGCGTTTACATATGGCTATGAGCCACTGTGCAGGTGCTGGAAAAGAACCTGGCTCCTCCAGAGAGCAGCAAGTGCCCTTAACGGCTGAGTCATCACTACAGCCCCAACTTTTAAATATTTAGATAACAGAATTGATTTGTGAATTTTGTTCTCATTTCAAGTTATTTCATGTTCAGAAGAAAATGTCAGTTTGTTTCAACATTTTAGAGCTTTGTATTTAGGTCTACTACAACTTCTGGAAATGTTCACATGATATGTGAAGGTATATCATGTTCATCTTATTTGGATATTTTTCCTTTTGAGTTTTGCAGACTAAAATAGGTGTCTATCTTGAAGTTTTAAATTACAAGTGGTTCTAAATTCTATTTTATGGGCGATTTAACCTTCAACACTATAAAATATACGTTATCCACACCCAGCTACTGCTTCTTGGCTTGTGTGCTAGTAGGCCGAATGTAAGTATGAGGAGCCTCCCATTGTTTGCTTTGCACTTAGGTGGTCTTCCCTGCTCACCTTTTATCTCTACCTGTCTCTTTCAGTCATTGAGTATTATACACACAAACAGGACTGTTTACTTCTGCAATCAATTGTAACTTTTTTTCTTAGAATGGTGATGTTAAATGTTTTACATTTATTTTTACAAGTGATGTCTGTGGTTATATACAACATTTTTAAAGTTACAGTTCCCTTTTAAGAGTTCCATTGTATGTATTCTTTTTGGTTTTATCCACACAGATACTCAATATTTTGAAAGTTTTATAATTGTTTTAAAACTACATACCTTTCAAACTTTTAACTGGCAAACAATGCTCTATTTTTTAGATAGTATTTCACAACTATTAAGTTACAACAGTCAGACTGTTTACTGTCACTTGACTTCTCTCTTTCACCATCAAACTTTTAGGATATTATTTCTCCTTTTTCATACGCTGGCTTCTATGAAAATCCTTTGAATTTCTGGACTTATTCCATGTTCCTGTTTTATTCAGTCTTCCCCATCACTCTGGTTATGTCATTTTTGCATTATTTGGTCATAAAAAACTGAAAATTAGCTCGGTGCACACCTTTAAGCCCAGCATTCGGGGAGGCAGAGGCAGAGGCAGGCAGATCTCGCTGAGTTCGAGGCCAGCCTCTTCTACAAAGTGAGTCCAGGACAGTCAAGGGTACACAGAGAAACCCTGTCTCAAAAAAAAAAAAAAAAAAAAAAAAGTCAAAATATTCTGGTTTTTCTGCTTGTTTTCTTCTTATTTTTTTCTGTTAAAAATTTTTATCCAGTGTTTTCCAGCAGTAATTAGTATTTTCCACTCATTCTAAATTGGCTGAAATGTTCTCATTAATTTTTCTAAGAATTATTCACAGAAACAATTTCTCACGTGCTCACAAATTTTGTGGCAGTATCTCTTTTGCTTTTAGTCTACAGTCGTGTTTTAGAGCGACATACGGCCAGGGTCACTTCTTTCCTTAGGCACTAGACAAAACTAGCAGCACCGAGTTTTGGGAAATTACAAGGCAGCAACACTGAAGACAGTACCAATCATGTTCATTTGCACAGAGTACAGTCTTACAAAAGAACACTTTACAAAAGAATACTTATGTTCTGGACAACATGCTCAGTAGTTGCTTAAGAAAAAAGAGTTTTGGGAAACGTGTTATCAGATACACAATCACAAAATGTCAATGAGGTTCGCTGTTAGAAAAGAATAGACACAATTTAAATAAATTTATCGTGTCAGTGTGTATGTCTCTGCCATTCCCTGGAGAACTCAATGTTCTTGGAGAAGTTTTCATTTTACTCATATAGATGTGTACTCCATATTAACAACTCTATATCATTATATTGTCAAAGTTTGTAATTTATCTACACAGGAATGCAGAAATTAACTAATTGAATTATAATCTTGTTCCAACATCTACTATTTATTAAATATTACTTTACAAAGACACATTTACCATTTTTACATTGTCCATAGTTACTGTGTATTAAAATAAATTTTCATAGGCTAAAACTGAAGTGCAAAACTCATAAAAATTTCAATAATAATTTCTGTAATTCATTATGAAAACATCAACTTACTTATGACCTAAATGCTTCAAAAAATATCCCAGAACTTTCAGCGCTTGGACCCAGATACTTTCACTTTTAGAGGCCAATAATTTGTAGATCACCCTAAAAAACAAATGATCTTTTAAGTACCTAACTAATATTGCAAAGAAAAAAGTACTTTATGAATACACATATTGCTTTCCACCACACTGGGAAAAATTCCTGGCTATATACTTAGACAGTATCTCAACTTCTGTCAGGGCGCTCAGCACGCGAACAGGTTGACTTTATCCAACTGTGATTGCTAAGTGAACCACAGGCAGACACCTACCTTGTTATTTCTCTGTTCTGAAAATTTAGAGATTATTATTAGTATTAGAAAAGGGCCAAACACAGAGATAATACAGCAAGAGAAAAATCACAGACATATCCACTGGTGAATCCTACCATGGGATGTAAATAGTAATAATCCTAACTTCCCTTTTCAAATTCACTGTATTGACCAAAACTGCTTGTTTCAGACCTCACCTATATAAGTATGTCACGATATTAGCTACACAGTTCAATGGTGCATCATCACCAGAGCTTCTTATGTCCAACTAAAATAACAGAAAACTGGGTCTACAGATGTAGCTCAGCAGTAAGCTTTGTCTTCCATGTGTAATGCTGTGGGTTTGAGCCTCAGCACCACAAGTAAAATAGAACAAGAATTACATGAAATTCATTCTTTTTATTTTTGTTCATTCTGCTGAGAGGGTAAAAAAGTTTTTCTTTAAGGAATTGCTAGGAGCTAAATTATAGGTTTACATTCGTAAAAATTCTAATCTAGAAACCATGCTTCTCTTATCGGCAAATAATTCATAATTGCCACAACTAGAGTCACTTTTCAGATTATTTTAATTTTGGTCTTTGGTTCTAAAAACATCTTTCAAATCTGTAATTCTCACTATTACACCTCACTCCTGCCTCACAGAATCACCTCTAAGAACGACAAGTAAAATATTTTCTGATGGTTGCACTACACTAGTTTTTCCCTTCTCATTCATATTACCAACTATAAATCATATCTATATACATTAATATATATAATTTAAATATAAATACAGATCACTGAGTATGCTTGGTCTGCAGGTATCTCATCTCTAGTTCTCCAAAACTTTCTCACATCTTATTTTTTTCTGAAATGTACCATGTTCTTTATTGTCCTCTCGTGAAAAAAAAAAACAAATAAATCTGCCTTTCCTACTATGCAAGGTCTGCATTGCAGCAAATTACAATCATTCAGCTTCATAATTGAGACCACTTCGATACAGTTATTTAGCTCCTCAAAAATGTAAGAACTGGCAGCTTTTCCCTCGTCCCACTTCTTCATTCATAGAATCGTCTAGGGTACACAACTGATAACGCTGATATTATAATTATACCTTATTCCATTTCTTTGATCAAATGCTGGTATCATTGAGGCTGGGTGTTCTGACATTAGGGCCACTAATAACTGTAATACATCATGGATATTTTCATCCTGCATAGTAAGAAATAAAAAATTGGGTTAAAAATTGCTCCAAATCTTTAAATAAAATAATTAAAATGAAAGATAAAAAATATGTTCTACCCTACCTCATGCATTGTAAGTAAATAATTTAATATACTCTGAAGTTCATCTTCTTTCACTCCTCGATCCTGATTAAAAATATTTCATTAGTTAATGAAAATAAGAAATTATGACTTTGAAGAAAGGCATCAAAATCAAGGATATAAAAGTAAACAGAAACTTAAAAGCAATGTGTTCAATAAAATTCTGCCTTGTTTCATAATTTAAATATTATTTTATTTGGATTTCAGAAGTAACTATTTAGATATTAAAAATGTTAAAACTTAGAGTCAGGAAAGCAGCACAGCTTTTAGACGCAGATCTCAGAAAGCAGAAACAGGGAGATGTCTGCTGGTTTAAGGCCAGCTACAACATGGATAAGACCTTGTCTCAGGGGAAGCTACTATACTGTGATGATTTCATGCTACCGTGTTCTTGTTATCTACTGCTTCCCTAAAACAATGGAAATTCGGGGGTTTGTGGGATCACAAACGTGTATGTGTACTGTCCTAAGACTGTTTGTGTATTCCCTTTAAATCACCTTTTAAAGCCCTTCATGTCAGAACACTCTGCAATCTTAGCTAAAATGGAACACATATCATTTTCTAGAATAAGGTATTCCTGCTTTTTTTTTTTTTTCACATATTCCTTGCTTCATCTGGTGCATCTCTTTTAGCACATCCATACTTAGCATGGGTCATCTCAGTATGTATTCGACCAAACGGTAAGTGCAAAACAATGGTACTTTTACAGAGTTTGTAAAGCAACATGAAAAGGCATTCTTAATAAATTAATGACAATGATTTTTAAACTTTGACAATAGTTCCTTTTTGCCCAATACATTTGCAACTATAAAATAAAGTTCTTTTACCTTTAATATGAGCTGTTTCAGAAAAAGTAACATAAAAGCCCGAAGTGATATGATCTCTTTCTGTGATGGCCGGGGACCATCTAAAAAGAAAATAAGCCACAACACTGAATAAACTTAATGCAACTATATTCAAATCCTGTAGAAGCATTTATTAAGTGTTTTTAAAATCATAATATAAGTGTTGCCACTGATATTTTACAAGTTCAAAAATATAAGAATAAGATTAATTTTCAGGTTTTTGGCAATTCCACATTATTTCCTGAATGTTAGATTTAGGATTAAGAGCTGCTCTAAGTCTCCAATATATCATTTCCACTGATAAATGTATGATCACCTAAAACTAACATGGGTGCTTTTCTCTCTCTCTCTTTTTTTTTTCTTTCTTCATTACAATTTATTTACTTTGTATCACCTCTGAGCAGAGGGTCTAGGTTATCTCAACACACGGCTCTTGGATGGAGTATCAGTCTCGGCAGCACCCCCCCCCCCCAGGTTATTTTTATTAATTTAACACACTTTCAAAATATTCCAGAAAAAAATTCCAATGAAAATATTTCTTTGTCCTGTAAACCTCTCCCCATTTACAGACTCTTTTAAAGTCCCATGCATATACAAAACTGTCCCATTCTACCTCCTCACAATTACTATTTTTGCATCCTTTTCTCCCATGTACAAGGCACACGGTAGTGAGCACCAACAAACGCTGAGCTGGAAAATGAAGTCAAGCATGGGAAACTAAAATAAGCTTATGAGTCCCACTGTATCTAAAGTCAAAAGATCCAACTGTGAAATACCGAATTGCCAGGAAGAACGACAACTGGAAAGGATGTGCATACAGTATGACATAGAACAGAACTCACCTTTAAACATAACAAGACTCACAAAAATTGCTTAAACATCTTTCTCAAAGCAACTAACATCAATGTCACTCCTTTATACATTTCCAAAGCATAATTCTGCCTAGTACACATAAAGCTGCTATGAACATAACTGCATCCTTGTTCTTTAGTTAAACATCTTTGGGGTGTATGCCTAGGAGTGGTATAGCTGGATCTTGAGGTAGCACTATTCCTAATTCCCTCAGATGTCCTTTATTACCATGATTAGTCACTCACAAACAGTTTATCTAGATTACTGCATTTACAAGCAAACTGTCACCCAGTGCATTCATCTATTATTAGAAATAAATCTGTTCCACATTTTCCAGTCGTTAGCCATATTTTTGCTTACTCTAACCAATAGTAAAGTACCTAAACCTTCTTATAAGTACTTGATACTACTTTTTTGAAGCCTGCCTCATTGTAGTTTATAAAATATACAATGAACACAGAAATGCCATAGGTTGGGTCTTAGTTCATGAAAGGATGAAGTTGACAGTATGGCTGAAATACAGGAATGTTAGGACAACATGTGTATGAGGTATATGGAAAGCAATGAGGACAGTGCTTCAGTAATTTAAACTGTAGAGATGTGGTAACTGCTAACTATGAATACACTTGTCACAGTCTTTACAACAAACATGGTGCTGCGGAAAGACAAACTTATGTGCGTGGCGCATGCATGACATGAATCCGCTTTTAGTAAAAATAAAATAATAGCAAAAATTACTGGACAGGTTAAAAATTAAAAGCAAAACAAATCATAACTTTACAACAGTGGCTCTCAACCTGCCTCATGTTGTAAGGACCTCAAACCATATATTTTTTTTTGCTACTTCGTAACTGTTATATGATATATCTTGCTGCTATTATAAATCACAATGTAAATATATGATATACAGAATATCTGATATATGACCCTCAAAGGGGTTACAACCCACAGACTGATAATCAATGTTTTACACAGAGTTAATGGTACAAATGATAAAACTTTGGAGTAACAAGGTAAAACAGGTAAATATGTAAATATATACTAATATAGCTAATATGAGCCAGTTTCCACTGCAGAGAAAATAGTGCAAATACCATAATCATAAAGCTGAGCTGAGCCATGTGGCTTTAAATGGAAATAGAGTATGGTGTGTATTCAGAACTGAAGTCACACTTACAGTTGGATTTCCTAGATCTGATTTGTCCACTAAGAGCAGCAAAACAGGATTAAAAAAAAAAAAAAAAACAGCAGGCAAAACTAACTCTCATATCTTGGCTTGTAAAAAATCTACATCAACTAAGCAAGCAAGGGTTCTTTGGAAAAACAGGGTTAGGACAAGAATGATTAAAAAATAGACAAAGAATATTTTGTGTATGTTTACAGTAAGGAAATACTGCAAACTAATGGATATCTGCCATAAAGCTACAACATGTCCTACGCAGCTTCCTGCTGACAAATCTGACAAATGTAAGCATCGCAATATACAAGGATGCCACTCGGTGCCGGCGCACTATTCTCTGATGGTCCTTCATCAACTCACTTCCATGTTGCACTGCCATTTGGCATGCTCATAACTGTACAGCATCCCGAAACATGTTCACAGAATTAAAATCAAAACCTACTCGATGGAACAAATTTTATGGCCACCGAAGACTAGAGTTATTACAGGGTAGCTACCAGTTTTCAGAAAAAGCTACCAATTTTGAATATAATTCACCATATAAAAGAGGAATTCATGAGACCTTACTGATATAAAAAACTGAAAAACAAATACATACACAAGAAAAACAAATTCTCTCTTATAGCAGTATGCAAACTATTATGTTAGAAAGTATCACTCTTGGCAGCTGACAGAGTAAGAGAAATTCCCTCAAGATTCATCTTGAAATAAGTAGGTGAAGCTTGCTGCAGAATAAGGTATGTACACAATCTGAACAAGGAGGCAAGACCCTAGACAAGCAGTCATGTTTAACACCATTAGACACAGGCAACTGAACATCATGTATTTCTTTGACAGGGCAGGTTGAGACAGAAACAGGATTTCCGTGATTCTCATGTCAAAAATGAAAAACCCAGGTCACCATGAAAAAGCACATAGAAATCTAAACTGAGTGGTGTCCAAAATCTGCCTGTGTTTTTCAACCATGTCAAGGGCACGGCTAAAAAGTGATCAAACTCTCAGTGTACACAGAGAAACATGAAAGTGACTACGTTTAAGTAATACCATGGTCCTGCAACTGGTATTTAGGAAAGATAAACACTATTTGTTTCTAGAATTGATACTATTGAAGTAATTGATAAAAATCTAAATGGGGCCTTTGGGTTGGAAGTAGCACTATATTAATGATAACAATCTAATTTTCATTGGTCCCCATTATAACTTAACAGGATTAACCTCTACCTTTGGGGAAATATACAGGGAAGTATTTGTGGTAAGAAAACATTTTCTATAATTTATTTTCAACTGATACAAAGAATAGTGCACATATTTGAGTGTTTCACAAAAAGAGATGAAAATGACAAAAGTTTCTGAGTCAGCATTACACCTATCAGGCTATCGGATGAGTGGCGTAAGAGTTTAATAAGGTAGAATAAAAGGATATATCAATATATAAAATATGAAACTATACTTCAGTTTTCTTCTATAACTCTTCACAGGTTCTATGTGTTATAAAGTACTGTGGTAGAGCAGAGGCTAAATTAAAAGATAATATGGTTTGTTCATAATGGGGAATACTGAAATGTAGACTTTCAGAACATGGGCCCCAAGCTCTTTCAGACTAAGTCACACAGCTGTGATTCAAACTTCAGAACTGTTGCTGTGCAGCTTCCAGCATTTTCCTGGAGAAAATATGGATGGTATTAACAGCACCTACAATGTTGGTATATATCTGAACATGTTTAGATGTCTCTAGTTATGTTACATATTGTTAAATATATTAATAAAGAGTACTCAACAGAGACTGACTCTGGACATAAGCAACTCAAAAGTCACAAAATAAACTCTGAAAGGACAGACAGACATGACTGTCAGTGACAATTACTGACTTCCATTATAAGACAAAAATGTATGACTACCTAAATATTAATACTAGTGATATTTATTTTTCCTTTTAAAAGAGATTGGTGTAACGACACTTGTAAGACCACTGTGAAAATTCTGAGAAAATTCCCATCACACAGTGCTAGTAAAACTATCCTGATAGAACAGTTCTGAAAAAAAGAAAAAGAAAAAAGAAAAAAAATTAAAATACTTTTAATTAGCCCTTTCTTGTCAATTCTTAACAAATCAGAGACAGTCAGACCCCCTTTTCAAAGGAAGTCCATTGGCAGCTCAGTCTCCAAGTGGGTTTCTAGTAAGGGGCTCAGGGGCTGTCGCTGACATGAACTCAGTGGCCTGTCTTTGATCACCTCTCCCTGGGGGATACAGCCTTGCCAGGCCACAGAGGAAGATGATGCAGCCAGTCCTGATGAGACCTGATAAGCTAGGGTCATATGGAAGGGGAGGAGGACCTCTGCTATCAGGGGACTAGGAAAGGGCATAGGGGGAAAAAAATTGAGGGTGGGTGGGACTAGGAGGAGACGAGGGAGGGGGCCACAGTGGAGATAGAAAGTGAATAAACTGTAATAAATAAATATATAAATAAAATTAAATTTACAAAAGGAAAAAATCATATTTTTATGGAATAAAATTTAAAACATAACAGGAAGCATAATTAGAGTGGAAAAAGTTTGATTCCATAGAAAAGTTTAACCATTTTCTTGTGTCGGGGCAAAAGCTGCGCTTTCAGTAGTGCTCCTCCCTGTGCAGTGGACCAAGAATGTTTCTCTTGGAGGTTATTTTGTGCTTTAGAGTACTTACAGAAGCATACATTTGTATAATTAGAAAACATGGCTATATTCTTAAGACATAAGAGCAAGTATATGAAAATTAAACCATTTTCTATCACACTCAGGTCAGACAGCACATTTGAAACAAAAGTTCAAAAGGCTCAACATACTAGCAGACACTGATGGGAACTAGTCACATTTACCCATTTTTAACATAATGACTGTATTTTCCAGAGCTCCTGTAAAAAGCACCTCAATTAAAACCAAGCGCATTTTTAAAAATATGTTTATTTCAAAGTATTTTTAACACTATAACTTTCTTAATACAGTTAATTTGTGTATGGGGGTGTGCGCTTGCCACAGACTAGAGGTCAGGGGTCAACTTGCGTGAGTCAGTTCTTCCCTCATGTCAGTGGAGGCTGAAGGGCTAATTCATGTCATTAGGTCTTGAGGCAAGTACCTGTAAGCACTGACTCACTAACCCTAGATGTCCTTTTTTATAAACAAACACAAACAAACAAACAAACAAACACATGCAGCTTCTAACATAATATTGTACCTCATAAGAAACCAAAGAGCTAAAGGATAATTTCGTGGTCATGCAGATGTGTTCACTGTGCTAGTGGCCAGGATATAAACAAACACAGAAAACTGGAACTGTCACAGGGGTTCTTACCTAACCCTTTAGGTGTGATGCCACTGCTGTCAGCAGGGTTAATGACCCAGTAGTAATATTTTAATGTGTGCATCAGCTGCAATACTGTTCCGACTCTCCGTATAGTGGTATAGATGGTAGCAGTTCCAATAAACTCAGCAGACAAGTATGTATATAGGGAAAGTTGAACCTAATACATAATTGAAGTAAGTTTAAAGCGCTTTAAACACAAATTCTATTTTAATTCAAATGCAAATTGGTAAAGGACAAAATATTACAATTTATTATGTGACTTAAAATAACATTTCTTAATAATCATTTATATTTTAAAAAGTAATAATCAAAACAAACATTCCAATAAAACTGATTTCAATAAAGATAATCCACAAGGCCCAATTAGAAAACAAGGTTCTATATCTAAGGAAAATAGCCACCGTGAATTATAAATGATACTTTAACATAACAGAGGCTAATCTAATTCGAGATAAAATGATACAGCAGTAGCTTCTGTCTAAGACAGCTTCTAAAGAAAGGATCTGTTGGTAGTTCTTGAGCACATGCTTCTCCAGAGGAACAGCTGCAGCATATCAGAGAAAGCATACATTATCATACATAGCATATGCCAAAGGTTGTGTGACTCCACTTCCTTCACTTATTGCTACCATACAGAGTTATCATCTAGACTCTGACCACACACTGATTACAAGAAGGAACAATCATTAGTTGTGAATTTAGTACCATAGTGAGATGAGCTGTATGCAAATCAAGAGTTAACATTATCCACTCAGTTGTATAAAAGATTTAAAAGGTATGAAAGACAACCCAAAATAGTATATTTTAAGATTTACAGATTTAAGTTAGGATAAGTTAGGAATAAATTCAATTATCAGATATAAGGCATTCTGTGAATTTCTAAAAAAAAATATATCTTATCTATATGCTAATTTAAATATATACATATATATGTCACGGTAAAATATCTTAAGTTCAAAATGAAAGTAACTTTCCAGTCTAAATGATCACAGTACTCTATTGTCTTTTCCTAGTTTTTCAACAGTATACCAGATTTTCTTTGTTGACAAGGGACGAATCACATCTAATAACATTACAACTTAGTTCTACAGCACGTTTAATGTTTAACTATAGTTTCATTTATTATATTTACATATTCAAATTTTTATTTCTGCTTTATACAGACTAGAAAATAAGCAAAACAATGTTGAATATTTACTACTGGATATATTAAATAGAATAACTATACATTTATCATTAACTTTATTTTATAATATTAAACTGTAATTAAATGAATGAACCCGAGTTACAAACCTTTGCAGGTGTGTGTATCCAGATGGCAGGGTTGAATAAAATGTGGTCACATAGCTGCTTCAGTAATGGTGCTCCATGAGATAAGCCATCAAGGTACTTTGCAAATGATAAAAACTGCTCCAAGACAGCTCTAGTTATGTGAACTCTTGATGACTAAAGACAGAAACAGAAGATTTATCTAAAAATTGTGACATCAAATTCTATAATTGAAATTATCCCTAAAAGTTTAAATTAAAAGCATAAAATTGCATATTGTCTCTGTTAGCAAAAATGTAGTTATATGAAATTTTATATTTGAGTGAAAGCTTGCTACCCAAAGCCATGTCTAAGTCAATTACAGATAAGTAACTCCTTTCAATATAAAGGAGTAAACTATGCGAAGACTCTCAAAAATGACAGCAGATCTTACAGAACTTGAGAGTTAAAAATTGTAATTCAAAAAATAAAGGGAAAAAGAAGTGCTTTTATTCACAGTCGTTCCACAAGTACAGTAGAACCCTCTGTTTTATTCCTCTAGGCAACACTGACAAATGCAGTTCACTTGCTTGAACACAAACCTGCCTGGCCTGGCTATCATAAGTCAGACCTGACTCTTCTGGACACAATGTTCTTATTCAGCTTTCACGATCCTCAGAGTACTCCAGAGACCTCTACTCAAATACAACATGCTTTGCCCTCTTTTCACTACAAATGATATATCTCCTTTGCTAACACTCTTAACTTCTTCACTTAACATGTCTCGATGCAGAATAATCCCATCATAACCACTCAACACCAATGTATGACTTACTACTACACACAACTGAACACCACAGCTTCTGAAATTCACACCACTTCTTTAAGATGGTCTGATAAAGTGGGCACTCTCCTACGTAACTGCAGAGTGAATGGAATTTTATGTAAGAAGTGGGAAATAGTAAGAGCTGGAGGAGACGGGAACTCCACAAGGAGAGCAACAGAACAAGATAATTTGAACACAGGGAACTTCCCAGAGACTCATACTCCAACCAAGGACTATTCGTGGAGATAACCTAGAACCCCTGCACAGATGTAGCCCATGGCAGTTCAGTGTCCAAGTGGGTTGCATAGTAATGGGAAGAGAGACTGCCTCTGACATAAGCTGATTGGCCTGCTCTTTGATCACCTCCCCCCCCCCCCGAGGGGGGAGCAGCCTTACCAGGCCACAGTAGAGGACAATGCAGCCACTTTTGATGAGAACTGATAGACTAAGATGAGAAAGGAGAGGTGAACCTCCCCTATCAGTGGACTTGGGGAGTGGCATGCATGCAGAAAGGGGAGGGAGGGTGGGATCGGGAGGGAAGAAGGGAGGGGCTTATGGGGGGATACAAAATGAATAAAGTGTAATTAATAAAAAATTAAAAAAATACAGCCTATCCAAAGTTAGATGCCCTATAAAGGTGTAACATAAATTTTGATAACTTAAAAAGAAATAATGCTTTACAAGGTGTACTTTTTAAAAATAACAACTAATCAAGTACTACAATAACATTTTGGATAGGCCAGGCTAAATAAAATACATTAATTTCATCTGTAACTTTCTACTATACATCTTAATTTACGTTTGATTCTTGAGTTACCTTTTGTTTAGGCAATGTTACCCTACAATATAATTTCAGACAAAAAGCAGTTAACATAGAAAAAACATTGCTCTTTGGAAAAACTGATAATCTAAACTCAAATACCAACAGCCTGCCAATGCCAGCAAGCACTGAAACATGCTGATAGGAACTCATAGTTTAGAGACAAGTTGTGAACTTGCTGAGTGCCATGAAAGGCACCTCAAAAAGCTTCACACAGGGCCTCTACATTATCAAAGAAAAACAAAATGTTTGTCTGGAAAGTAGTTTTAGATTCACACTTGATCATTACAAATATTGTTTTCAAAGTTACAATTTATTGGCTACTTAGTTTTACCATGTGTACAGTGAACTTTTTCTACAATAGTATTTGCTTTTGCCTGTGAATGATACTACTTATGTGTCAGATCCTCTTACTTTAGAGGATCCATGGAAGAAATCATACTGTTATTGATCTCTTCCATTCTCATTTGTAATTCCTCCATGCAGTCTAACTACATTCATATTAAATTCCAAAAGTGAGCAAGAACAGAAAAACTGGGAGAGTAGAAAAGATAGAAAGACATCCAATTTTTCTCAGTGTTTACTTTGATGAACTGCTTCTTTTTTTCTATTTTGCAACGGGTTTTCATTTTTAGAGGCAAAATAATCTTTAAATAAGATTCAAGGATAGAGATGCAGTTCAGTGGTAGAGGGCTTCTATGGCATTTGTGAAGCTTTTAGGAAAACACACATGCACACAAACACACCAGAGATTTATACTTGGACAATTAATAGGAATAAATCCTAGAAGAATCATCACGATATGGACATTATTGAAATGTGAACTCTGAAATCTGAGCCACATGACAAAAGAATGTGTTGATTTATTTAGTATTCTATTTTTGATGACTCTGTACATTTTTACAATGTATTTTAGTCCTTATCACCCCCTCTTGCCATGTCTCACTCCCTTTCTTCTAAACAAAAGGTCAGGGAAGACTGCTGTGAAACTGTCTTCTGGATAAGACATGGCCAGTATATTCTGGAGCTGATGAAAAGGCATGCCAAGTGCTATGCGTACACTGTAGTCTCAGCTGAACGCTAACAGAGGATAATGGTGGGTTCTAGAACAGCCTGGCTAGAGAGTTATCAAAAAAGAAAAGAAAGAAAGGGGCTTAAGAGAGGGATCACTGGTTGTTCTTCCAGAAAATGCAGGTTCAATTCCCAGCACCTACATGATAGTTCAATTTTCTTTTTCTGGAATTCCAGTCCAGTGGATCTCTTCTTGCCTCTGAAGGTATCAGGTAAACAATTAGTACACAGATACACATGCAAAGCACCCATATATGAATGAATGAATGAATGAATGAATGAATGAATGAATGAATGAGTGAATGAAACTTTAAAAAAGAAAGGAGGGAGGAAAGGGTAAGGGAATTAACACATTAATTATATACGTAATATATTTGGAAATAGAATATGTAGTATTAGAAAAAAACAATTACAGTGTCCACTTGAAAGTAATTAAACAGCAAATAGTAACACTGGATGCTATAAGGAGAAATTTACAATGAATAAAGGAATATATGTCCTACATGTACAGGATGTAATAGCTTAACAGAAATGTTTTCTTTATTGCAAAACCATTCAATACATTAAAACATGCATGATTACACATGTTACTTTAATTGGTAAATGTGTATCAAGAAGTAATTGAACCTTAGTATAAATTTTGCTTTTCCAGGACACTAAGAATGAAATCCACCAACCTAAATGAATTATATTAACCACCTGATACTGGGTGAGCATTGACAATACTTCAGAGATCCAATGGCAAACTACAGCATTATAACAAATATGCATGCACAGGAAGGCAAGACCTAGGCTGAGCAATCAAATCGCACTGAAGAAATGTCTGTGCATACAAGAAAGGAACTCTGTCTCTCTACCAGATGTAAGGGTATAGAGCTAAAGACCTGTACATACAAAGGAAAGGAAAAAATCTGTGGTATATATCAATAAACCCTGGAGACAGGATAAGAAGACATATACAAACCGGGTGTCTGATAACCATTTAAGACTTAACAAGCCTAACGCTGGATGCGGTGTTTGGACTGCTCTATAACTTTCCCTATCCTATCACTGTGCTTGGGAAATTTCCTTGGTTTTCAACTAAAAGTTTGACTATTTTGATCCATCATCAGGTAGTTAATGGACAGAAAAAAAAGTGTGGACACTGTCGTACAAACCAACACACAATTACTTTATTGAAGATATCAATCCAGTCAAGTACAACATTCTTCTCTTTAACTTGTAATAAATAATCTTTCTTGCCACTCTCTAGATCAAACCAAATTCCCTAACAATGCTTATAACTTACTTTTTAAAAATTTTTAAAATTTATTTTTATAATTGGTTTATTCACTTTGTATCCTAGAACTTACTTTATAAATAGCAAGACATTGAATTCATGTTAATAACTCAAGTTGTGTGTGCTGCCAGCTTACTGCTAAGATAAAGACTGATAAGCTATTGTTATTATTTGGATTTGAAATATCTATCGTTCAGTCTCATGTACTGAGGGCTTTCTCCCTAGCTGGGAGCACTAATATATGCAGTAATAGAAAGTTCAACACGAGGCATCTAACTAGAAGTGCTCACCATAGGCAAGCCCTAGAAAAACACAAAGGATTCAGGTGCATACTGAAGAAAAGTAATAGGAGAGTTGAGCAGGGGACCGCAAAAGACCAGCATGGGCAAGCACGTGCTTGCTGCTACAGGGAGGCAAAGAGGTGTAACACAGTGAAAACAGGGAGAGTGGAAAAGTATGGTATCAGAGGCATGAGATTAACAATTCAGTCACAAAAGGAGTAAGATCATTTAAAGAAGTAGTGTGAGCTTAAGGGTGGAGCATGTAAACATCCTGGTCAGTTTTAGCCATCATCCTGAAACAGCCTAGAGTCACCTAAGAAAGGGGTCTAAACTGATGCAGTACCCATATTAGCCTCCCCCGTGGCCATGTCCATGGAGGATTATGTTGATTCTTAATTTATATAGGAGCTCCCAGCCTATTGTGAGTGGCACCATTCCCTAGGCAGGTAGTCCTGGGCTACAAAAGAAAGCTAGCTAACATGAGTCAGAGCCATTCATCTAGCCAGCTGGCATGTATTCCTCAATGGTTTCTGCTTCAAGATTCTATCTGAGTTCTTACCCTTACTAACTCAAAGATAGGCATCAACCTGTAAGTAAAATAAACCCTTTTCAGATCTGTTGCTGTCCTTGTGGTGCTCCTCTCTAAGTCTTACTATCTCCCACTTCTTCGATAAGATTCCCTGTACTCTGCCCAAAGTTTGGCTATGAGTCTCAGCATCTGCCTCAATACCCTGCAGGGTAGAGCCTTTCAGAGGCCCTCTGTGGTAGGCTCCTGTCCTGTTCCCTGTTTTCTTCCTCCTCTGATGTCCATCCTCTTTGCTTTTCTGAATGGGGATTGAGCATCTTAGCCAGAGTCTTCCTTCCTGATTAGCTTCCTTAGGTATATAGATTTTAGTATGTTTATCCTATATTATATGTCTAATATCCACTTATGAGTGAGTATATACCCTGTGTGTCTTTCTGCTTTTGGGATACCTCACTCAGGGGTCTTTTCTGAAACTGATACTCCAGCCAAGGACCACTCATGGAGATGGCCTGGAACCCCTGCACAGAGGTAGCCTATGGCAGTTCAGTATCCAAGTGGGTTCCATAGTAATGGGCACAGGAAATGTCTCTGACAGGAACTGACTGGCTTGCTCTTTGGTCACCTCCCCCTGAGAGGGGAGCAGCCTTACCAGGCCACAGAAGAAGACAATGCAGCCAATCCAGATGAGACCTGATAGACTAGGATCAGAGGGAAGGGGAGGAGAACCTCCCTTATCAGTGGACCAGGAAAGGGACACAGGTGGGGAAGAGGTAAGGTGGGATTGGGAGGGGAGGAGGGAAGGAGGCACAGGGGGGATACAAAGTGAATAAACTGTAATTAATAAAATTAAAAATAATTAAATGAAAAATGTTATCAATTTTAAAATTAATAAAAATAAATGCTTTTCTTACCTAACTTGTTTTTGGTCACTATTTTATCATAGCAACAGATATAAAACTAGGAAAGTAATTATTGGTATCCATGGACATAGAGAAGAGAATAAGGAGTAAGAAATAGCAATTGGTGCTGCATATATTCTTAATTTTAAAGATTTGTTGCATTTTTTGTGCATGAGTTTTTTGCCTACGTGTATGTATGTGCGCCGCATGCATGCCCAGTGCCCAATAAAGTCAGAGAGGAATTTGGGCCACTGTAACTGGAATCATGGATGGTTATAGACCACAATGTGGGTACTTGGTTTTATGCAAGAGCAACAAGTGTTCTTAAACATCCATCTCTCCAATCCCTAATTTTGGATATATTCTGAAAGCTAAAATATAATTATCCAGTGTTTGGATTTAGTGTGAGAAAAAGCAGAGATTAATGTCTAAAGTTTAAATACATGGTAATGACATTGACTAAGATAAAAAGGAAAACAGAAAAATAAACCCTAAGACTACTACTGATACTCTGCTGTCCTTGCAGTCAGGAGCCTAGCATAACTGTCTTCTGAGAGGTTCAAATAACAGCAGGCAGAAACATGCAGATACTCAAACCAAATCATAGGCAGATCTTGGAGAGTCTTGTGGAAGAGTGGGAAGAATGATTGGGGAAGCCAGAGGGATCAAGGACACAACAGGAAGACCTACAAAGTCAACTAACCTGGGGCCATGGGAGCCTCAGAGACTGAAACACCACCTAGACCCCTACACATATGTAGCAGATGTTCAGCTTGGACATCGTGTGGGAGGAGGAGTCGTCTCTGATTCTGTTCCTTGCCTTTGGATCTCTTTTCCCTAGCTAGGCTTCCTTGCCTAGCCTCAGAAGGAAAGGATGAACTTAGTCCTGCTGAGACTGTATGGGATGGTACTCATTGGCAGAAAGAGGGAAGGGGTTGTGAGCATGGGATTGGAAGGAGAGGAGGGAGGGAGCTGCAATTAGGATGGAAAGTGAATAAATAAATTAATTGAAGAAAAAAATAAAAAGGAAACCAGAATATGAGAGAAAACTCAAAAGCAATTATTTGGTTAAAAACTGTGCAGATCACTTGACATCCTACTGGAACCGAAATGGAGGAGATATGAGACGAATTAATATCTCTAGGATGATGAAAGCAACTATATGCAGAATCTCATTAAATGAATTATAGGAGAAAAGATTTTCCAGTATAAAACCAGGAGGTCGAAGGCAGTCTTCAGAAGTGCAGAAAAAAGTAAAAAAAAAAAAAATCAAGAATAGAAAATAGAAAAACTGAAGAAAGACACTGCTAAAATGTACTACAGCTGGTGTCAAAGTGAAAAAATCTAAGTAACCAAGCAACAAAACAAGGTCAGTGGTACAAAGGTCTCAACAATATTAATGCCAGTACCGTGATTATCAGAAAGCCTTATTGGAACAAAAGTGTACATATGATTAAACAGAAGTTTTCTATTTAAAAATTAATAATATGGTTCACAAAGTAAGAAACAAATTAGAACTTCATTAAACCAAATAGGAAAAAAAATGACTTAAAAGTCAATATGATTTTAACAGAAAAGATGAGGCTTCAGTACAGCAGAAATTGTTTTCAAACAAATGGATTAGCTACACACACGTGCATGTACTCAACAAGAGGGCTATATTCCAGTAAATCCACTGTAGACAATGTGGTGTAAAGACAGAATACACTGAACTCGCCTAATCCACTGGAATCTTAGCTTCGCAACAGGGCACACTGCAAATCTTGTCACCTCTCCCTCATAACTATTGGGAACTGTAAGGTGGACCTCATGATGCCATCTGCTGCAGTACTAGCATGAGGAATATTTTTTTTAAATTGAGTTTTCTTGAGACAGTCTTACACTGTAGCCCAGACTAGTCTCAAACTTTCTATCTCCTGCCTCATCCTCCCTAGGCTTGCAAGAGATTTTTTTTTCCATTTTCTATCTTCATTCATAATTTCTTAACACCATGCCTATGTTTACATTCAGAGCATAATAGAAAATGTTCTTTAATTATCAAATGATATTACCATTGAACAATCAAAAGGTAATATGATTGTCAACTGTCCAGTGACAAAAGCTACATACCAAAAAAATAATAATAATAATATGTACCACTTACCTTTTCAAGTAAGTAGCCGATGACTAAAAAGCCTTTTCCACCCAGCATCTGTTCTTGCATGGCTACTGAACTTTTAAGTAGTTCAACGAGGAATGCCAAAAGAGTAGCACTGTGTGTAAAGTACAGATAATTTCACTTTTTAGTCATTAAATATTTATTAGAAACATAGCGTTCCATTTCAGTAATTTGTTTGCCAAACAATAAGAACAACCACATTAATTTCTCTGTTGTTTAAAAACGCTATATGGCCTTTATAATACAAACATGTATCTTCCCACAAGCAAGAGAGGATATGATTAATTTTATCCTTCAAGTTAAAAACAATAAATTAAAAATAACTATATACAGTTTATATTTCAGTTAAGTATAGAATGTATCTATGCATATATAAAACATATTTTCTACTTTAAGTGAACCTGACATAAGAAACATATCACTATTCTATAATATATACACTATCAGGCTTTCAAAAAGTTTTAAATATGTCCAGGACATTGTTTGTGAAGAACATAGCTGGTCTTTAACTATTGTTCATAAGAATTTATTTGATATATAAAAATCAACCAGAGAAATGTCACATACCACTTATGTCCAAACATGCCCTCAGAAAAGTTCATGAGAGCAAAGTAATGACTCATGTATTATAGAAATGAGAATCTGTTAAAATTAATTACATAGTGTACACAAACACATAAATCAAATAACAGTAGGTACCAGACAGGTTAAGCACTGGTAGTATATACACTGAATGAATAAATGAGGAAACAAAGGGAAGTGATTGCAACGGATTAGGTTTTGATAATGTATTTCTTCATAAGTTGTGTATTTCCAACCAGCAGCTCTGACACATGAATAAAAATATACACCCTTCATTATATGTTCCTAATGCAGTTAAAATAAATTGCCATATACTAGACTTTATCATGAAATAATAGCCATCTGAAATGTTTTGTAATATACCTTTAATCACCTATTTATAATAAACACAGCAGTACTCATTCTTAAAAGTATTTAAGAAAATGTGATGATGAAGAAAGCTCAACAATTATTAAAGAAACCTAGTTAACTCCATTTTTGACTTACTTTTAGCTCTCTGGGTTTCAAAAGGACTAACAGATTTCTCCAGTAATTTGGAATATTTGTTTGTTTGTTTAGCTTAAAATCAAGTTTTCTCATGACAATAAGCAACAGAAAAATGATCGTTATTATTATTATAAAAACTTATAACTGAACAAACTACTTGATATTCTAAAAACATATACCTAGAAATAAAGTACTTCATCAGGAAATTAAAAGAATCAACTTAGCTAGCCCTACACCATTAAAACGCAAGCACGCGCATGTGCGCGAACACACACACACACAAACACACACACACAAATAAAAACTAATATCAGTGACACTCTTTTCACTTTGTTCTTGAGCCAAAGATAGATATTTCTAAGAAAATCACAACTATCAAGGAATCCCTTAGGATTCTGTAAAGAAGATATTAAACAATCTAGTTGATTTTAAATGAATTCGGTCAACAGTCAAGTCCACTTCACAAATACCTGCTTAAGTCCTCTATTACATATAACACTTCTGTTTAAATGTTTGAAAGTAAAAAAAAAAAAAAAAAAGCTATTGCACAGATATTCTACAATTTTCAAACCTATTCATGGAATTTCACCTACACTTGAATTAGGGCAGTGGGTTCCTAAGTATCAGAACTGTCAAAAGGGAAGATTCAAGTCTGCCTTACAATGGTCCCTATAATACACTGAGAATAAGCAGGAAGCATTCTTTGAGAAAGTCACACACATTTGAAGAACCTCATAAAACTACAAGGAAGCTGTGGACTTTTATAAATCTTTTATATAACAAGACTATCCATTTTCATTCATATAATGTGTGAACTCAGACCTCTAAATACAGTATAAGTCCAGTGCAAAAGCAGAAGGAAACATTTGTTATTATTCCAAACCTGAACACAAGACCATGCTGTCCGAAAAACATTGATTTCACTTTGATATTACCCATGACAACAGAAAACTCAAATGCATTTACTATCCAAAGTAATTTTAATTTATACCTAAGACCAAATGTAATAATAATTCAAAATCTTTTCAAAAAGTCTTTTAAAATAAGGTATTTTTGACATGGTGGATTTAATAGTAAATAGATGGCCATCTTCGAAGAGGTACAATTTCAAACGTAATTTAGCAAACTTACCAGTAACTAAAATGCATCGGATTGCTGCAGGGCTCACAATAAACTTGCAAAATTCTGTGTACTGCCATACAAAATTTCTCTCCATTCTTGCCTATTTCCAACTCCCCTAGATACAAAGGCAAATATAAAGGATACTTCAGCCCATTCCTATAGCTCCTGCATTCCACTTCCTGTCTAGAACAATCAGTTCACACGTAGAGGGTCTAAAGATATAGGCTAATCCGAAAGGCAAGCAGCTCTGTCAGCCAAAACTAACACAACATAGAATACGCTTGTGCAAAGTACAGCCTCAGCCAAGGACAGACTGTCAAATGGCTCCTTGGCAGACGAAAGGGTATTGATTATTATGCAGTGATAGAAAATTGCTAATCTTTTCAATTAAAAGTACTGTAATATATTTTCTTAAGTAACAATCCTACTTTTGGAATGATTGGGATTTTAAATGGTTTCCTTTGGGAAAAAATGACACTGATGAATCTACTATGGGACATTTTCCCTTGAAATTTTAATTACCATCTTCCAATTTTAATAAGTTTTGATTAAGTTAGCAAATAAAATTCATATATTATTATTGATGAGGGCTAAATGTCAGGAGGTAGAAAAGGTAGCATGATACCAATAACAACTCAGGATATTTTTTGCCAGAGCCTGCTCACCATCTTAGTAGAGAATAATGTAACAGTCTTGATCAACATGAGAATATTTAGCTACTACATATAATGATAATATTTTTAAATGAAAATACATACACTATAATTCTATTCCATTAAAATGTATGTGAATACTTCCACTGCCTTTTCCAATTAATGTTACAAAATAATGTAGACTATTCATTGATGAAATTTTAAAAAGTTTATTATCTCTGGGTACTTTCAGTATTCAACACACAGGATATTATAAATATCTGCCTCTTTTATAAATAATGTTAGGGGGAATGAATAATCTATGAACATTTCTAAAGCCATTCCATATAAAATAAAAATCTAAAGATTTGATTTTTTATATTAAAACAAAAATATGCCACACTTTGGTTGGCTTTCAAAACAGACATCTTATTAATAAGAATGTAACTAACTTATGCAAAACTTAAATATTTTTGCTGAGACCCAACACCTCTTCTCTACCTTTACAATGGTGTATTTAATATATTTAAAACCCTACATGCAAAATGAGTATCGTAATAATTTCAGAAGTAAGTTGAGTTCCAAGTAAGATTTAAGATATACTTAGGAATAAAAATCTTTTGCAATTCTATGTTCATCTCCTTAACGAGTCTAATATTTAAATATACTAAAATCTTTCAAAGATTATTAAAATTATATAAAATGCCTACTACACAATAGATTCTGTGCTATGTCAGCCTAGTATATGTAGATTTGTACCCAGCTACTTTGGGAGGCTAAGCGAAGAGCAACATTCTATGTGGGGTACAAGAAAAGTTCAAGACTGACCCAAGAGTTTGTGAGACCCTGTCACGAATTTAAAAGGGAGTTGTGTTCCAGGGATATAATAAATGAAGAAATGCTTGCCTGGATTATGTAAGACCATAGATCTAATTCCCAGTACCTAAAAGGGTATTTAAATAAAAGAATCAATATATCAGAAGAGTTAACGCCTTCACAGTTCAAAATGAGAAAGGTCTAAACCAAATGTTTCTAACTGCAAGTACAGTTAGCAGTTTTTGAACCTGGTGTTCTTAAAGTCATCACCTCAAAGACCACTGGGTAAGCAAGGAAACACTGATACAGGCAATACCCCCTTACTCAGTGTACACAGCAGCTTCATGACAAAGGAAACAGCAAACTAAACACTGGTAAAAGGAAAGAGAGGCAGAAAGCCTGGGTGTTAGCACAAAATATCTTTTCTCATGAAATCTCTGCTCAGTACTTCACAGTTTCCCTTTGGGTGATTTAAACATACAACTGCTACCACTGTTACACATGCTTAAGAGATTCTGCATAGGCCTTCTACAACCCAAGTCACTAAGCATTTACATCTTCCTTTGTTATAGACTGTTTTTTTATATTTCAACATTCTATATCTGAAGCACAAAAAACTTCAAAGTCTAAAATTTTACTATTTAGATAGACCAAAAAAATAAACAAAAATGTGAATTGTATACATTGCCTGGAAAGGTGGCTCCTCAGTGAAGAGCACTGGCTGCTAGTGCAGAACACCAGGGTTTGGTTCCCAGCACCCATATGGTGGCTCATTTGTACCTCCAGTTCCAGGGGATCTGGCACTCTCTTCTGGCCTCCATGGGCACCCACAAATTAAAATGTCCTTGTTCTCACCCTTCTGCTTTGGACTCACACCACCTCAACACCTGTAATGTAGCAAGAATGCTTCTCTGTCACTACAGCTCTGACTTTTTAAGAAAGTCGTGAACAAGCCAAGAACATATGTGATCTTCCAAGGTTCCCTTCTAGACTTTCATATATTACCCAAATTTGAGATTCATCCCAGGAAGTACATATATTCAGATTATTCTTAAGTGCAAAAGTATTTCATGGTAGAACCTGTTGAGCCACTTTGGACATCCATTCATCTCAACAGAACACTAGGTATATAGAATGGCAGTGTGAATAAGATAACTACCAATATATATAGAAATGTTTGTTTGTGAGCCGTTTCCTTTCTTTCTCATAACTGAAACCAAGGCATAGGAAACTAAATTATACATGTGTATGGCTCACTTTATACAGAACTGTCAAACTATATCCCCAAAATGTTGTACCCTTTGCTAATCCGACTAATACTGGGTTCTAGTTACGTGGCACATCTCTGGTAGCACCGGCCACATACATTTGTTTGTTTGTTAATTCTGGTCATTCTAGTAGATATACAGTAGCCCACTATCAGCTAATCATGTTGAAAACCTTCTTGAGCTACTCA